TTTCGTTTTCTTATTAACAGATTTGTTTTTATGACGTCTATTTTTCTATTATTTAAAGTAAGATTTTGTTATTGTTAGAATATAGAATAGAAGCCTGTTGTTGTAGGTTATTATTGAATTCACAGTTTATCAATAAATCAGAAGATAAGATATAATTATAAAAATTACTCTATTTGAGTGAAGTGTTCGTTGAGGCAGCCACGTTAAAGGGCTGGATCGTGTCTTTAAAGAGAATTCGAGTGGTGTACGCCATAAGCTGTAGCGATTAATTGACGATCATATTGAAACCATAGGTTGTAACCTTATGTGATTTTTTTCTTTCTTTTTTCTATTAATATTCTTTACCACAAAACATTCACAGTTTTGCAAAACATATGAGCCTACTGATATCGGTTTATTCAGCCTTAAAATATTTCTCCCATACCTGCGTGTCGAAGCTTTGGCACTAAAATTAGCGTTCGAAATTTGAATTAGCTCTATCGTAAGTACGCTCCTTTAGCTGCACATACAAATTTATCGTCTCCCACTACTTCTTTTACACATAAAAAATCGCGAATCAAGCTATCATTTTTACATATTATGTATCTGTATAGAAAATGACAAGAACACACTATTGTCAAATTTAAGTTTAGGTTCAGAGAATCATGCCAGAATCGACACCATTATAATTTAATTAAAATATATAGCCAATAGTTTCTCACCGTAAAAATATCTTGCAAAGACTGCCGTGAACAGCTCCAATAAAAAAATGTTACGCAACTTTCGTATTATTACGTAATATTTTTAAGGATTACTTTGATTGTCTGCCGTTTTATTGTCTCTGCACGTTCTTTCCGGTCGACTGTTAGAGAATACCATACTGACATGAAATCCGCCATATGCAAAATAGAGGCCTTAAAGATTAATAAATAAATAAATTAGGTATAATAATAGGTAAAAATACTTGCTGTTTCGCGCGCGCTTGTGACTTAAGCCGCGCCCGTGAGCCTACGGGGTCCAATTTCAGTGTAGCATAATTGCCAGCACGGAGGTAATGTCTCAGAAGAGCGGCGAACCACAAGCCCGCCTCCCTTCTAATGGGCGGACCATTCGAACCTCTTTGATGCTAACCTATAACAATTTTTAATATCGAAACCTTTTGATATGAGGTTTTATTCGGAACGATATTTGCTACGCTGTGAACTCTGAACCGCTGAACTACGTACGCTTTAACTTCTTTTTAGGGTTCCATACAACAAAAGAAAAAAAAGTATTTTAAAGATGTTTCACTTCAGATGTGTGGTCCGTTCGTGTGAACGTCTTCGAAACTTCTTTTCTTAAATAAACTAACATTAGGTCGCGTTTAAGGCATAGGGAATGGAGCAGCGCTCGCATCACTGATATGTATATATTGTAGCGTGTGACGCTCGTGACGCTCGTAGCATTTCAGCCTTTGCCGAGTTACCCTCCAACTTTCATGCTCGCCAGGGAGAGCTGCGCAAGCATCGCACACTCACACACCCACACACACACACACACACACACACACACACACACATACATATATATATAGTCGTGCAACGCTAGTGGCGTAGAAAAGAAGTTTCACTTAGAAAACACCGGAAAAATTCGAGTCGCGACTCGCCCACCAGGGTTCCATACACATTTGTAGGCGCGCAACATAAACGGCCGTTTCACTTATTTACGTTATAGAAGGTTGAATTTTAAAGAAAGAAAGAAATAAATAAATTTCACACATTCAAGGGACCTTAGACCAAAGACTTTATATAATACCTAGACTGTGCACGAAAAAAATTAGTTAATCTAAAGTAAGATTTATATCTGTAGTAATAGGATAGCTATTATCTTGATAAGCGGTCGCTAGTAAAAACGGTCCTGAGTGAGAAAGCACCCAACGGTAGTGCGTCCCTTTCTAACGTCTTGCCAGCTCAATTTATCATTGGGTTTGGTAGAAATGGTAGAAAATGTCATCCTTTTCTACTTGTGATTTACTGATTAATTATCGATACGAACGATTCGTAAACTATGAAACGTATTTAAACATTTCTACAGTTCCTATAAATAATAAAATAATCATTGATATTTTTAAAATAAATCTAAATACAGAGTAAAAGTAGTATTTAATTAGTTGAGCCTGGTAATACTGAATGTAAGATGGTGATTTGTTCACTTGATGACAATGATAATGATGACACTTGATGACAATTTGATTAGAAATATTGTAAATTTGCTTAATAAAGTGTATTTTTTTTAAATGGTGAACTCGTGTTGTGTAACAGGGTGCTACAATGAATCTTATCCCGGTAGCCTTTTTTCTTTTCACGGGTAAGTAAAACTTACAATCATATTCATTAGGCGAACCATGAATTTTGGAGGTAGATGAGACTTTTTTTCTTAACATGAGTTGTGTGAATTCAATGAATCAATTATTAAATAATGCGGTCGCGGTTACTTCCTTGTTACTTTTTAGAGCGTTTTTAGATTCGTATCATCATCATCATCATCAGCCTATTAATGTCCCCACTGCTGGGGCACAGGCCTTCCCTATGGATGGAATAGGGAGATTGGGCCATGACCCACGAGGCGGGCCCAGTGCGGATTGGCGGGTGCTAACGACTACAGATGCAGCCGGGACCAACGGCTTAACGTGCCTTCCGAAACACGGAGGAACTCGAGATAGATGTTTTTGGTCACCCATCCAATGACCGACAACTGCGAAAGTTGCTTAACTTTAACATCGCAGCCGAACGCGTTAACTACCTGCGCCATCGAGCTCCTCACAAAAATAGTAAAAAAATATATATATATATATATTTTTTCTTGTATTGTGTAGATTTCCGAAGAACGAAAAGCAGAAATTGATGTGGGAAAATGCAGTGCCTGGAAAAATTTCTAAGTCGTCAGTTGTTTGCAGTGCGCATTTTAAATATGAATAAGACATTTTAAATAAGACTTAGAAGCTACGGGAAGTCCTTAACCCTTGAGCACGTAGGACGTAAGGCTACATTGCGACAAAAACTGCGCAAAACTATATTATTTAGCAATGTATAAAAACCAATTTTAATAAAAATATTGTATACAAATGATTATGTTTTTTCCGTCCAGAATTTGATGAATGTGATTTGGCATTGACCGATTTATTGACCTCACAATATGTGGGTCCCCCTTACCTTAATAAACATACTTTTAAGAGTACTTTCCCTTCAGGTGGCTGGCATTACAAAATTCCACTCTCTTTATCTAATCTCAGTCCAAGCCAAGCTACGCGTGCTAGTTTAAATACCGAATGAAACAGTTCATAGTACCTATATATTATTATTTTTAAAACCTACATAACTTCGTTTGGTCTGCGTTTAGAGGTATATGCATAGATGAGGTTTTTTCATATTAATTCACACTACATAGTCTAAATTACGTAAAATAATAAGTTTTTGTCGATGTAACAGCAAAAAAAGGTGCCAAAATCAGGTATTGGCATTTATGTTAAATTAATGGTAAGTCTGATGATACATTATTGTTTCTTAGGTTTTCACGCACATCACTCATTAAATAAAACTATTTTTTCACGGGTTAATGCACGAAACTTTATTTATTTATTGAAGTTTCGCAGCCTTTACAGGCCGCGTCGTCGGAATTTGTCATCATTTTTTTATTACACTAAGTCTTTGTATGATGCACTTAGCAAGTTAAAAAATACGCCATTTAGTTTTTATTTTAACTCATAATCACAAATTACTTACATGTTTAGACAGTAGCAGATACTAAACACAATCCTCTTTACAAGCTATATTAAATAACAAATACTAATAACAAATTTTGTCCCGCGTTACGCTTGAATGTGGTCAGCTCATTAGAAAGGAACACACTACCATTGGAAGCCCTCTCGCCCGGACCGTTTTTAACGCGATGGTGCACAGTCTAGGTATTATATAAAGTCTTTGCCTTAGACCTGAAAATATGGTTTAAATTTCAACTTGATATCTCCACGCGTTGAAATGACATCAAAATATACTTTTTCTTTACTTATTGAAACCTCTTTTGAATAGTCCAGTATTTTTCCTAACTTATCAGGACATCTTTTAGCTGATAAGAAGAATGGGCGTAAGAAACTTATCAGTATTACAGAAGAAGCCACATTTACATAAAATCATGTCGCTACCAATACAATTTATTACACACAATAATTATTTGTCACACACACAGAAGAAATCTAATCGATTATAATAAGCGCCCTTAAAGTATCTCGTTTGGCACTTCACATTTGCCTACAATATAAATATATACTAGAAAAAATAATGCAATTATCGTTAAGGCAAACACAGCATAACATAATCAGCGCATGCAGCCCCAGAATTTCGAAGTCCGCTGGTTCAATTCCTGTCTAAGTTACATAGTTGGGTCGTGTATAAAATTTATTTATATTTAATGCAAAAAGTGTGTTCAACGAACATAATTCCCTTCTGTTAGTAAGCGGTATCCTTAGCTTAAAGACTTCTTATTACTATCCAGCAGCAACTCCCATGGACTGCTAGACTCCCTGGACGAGCTCGGGTGACAAGCCTGTAGCCTCACGTAAAAACGTCGTATTGCAAAAAATAGCCAGCTGACGCCGTGATACTAAGACAGCCGACCATAGTAGCCTATATACTTCCGGTACTTAAATACTTCTTCCCCTGCCCGCCTTTTTTAATTAATGAAAATCTAGCAGTTCAAAAACACTGTTTCAAAATGACCTTTTGTACCCAGGGTCTTAGTCTTAGTAGTATGGAGGACTGTTTCAGCAACTCGACACCATGTGCCCATTTTGTGTGAGGAATGGCATCGTTCCTGCCATCCCAGCTACTCTAGTGTCCATAGATTTTCCAATCGAGAAGTCGTTTGTCTTACAACTCCTCTACACTCCAGTAGAATGTGGACGTTCGATTCCTCTTCCTCCAGGCAGGCTCTGCACAGAGGGCTGTCAGTAATACCTTTATTACAAAGGTGTTTGTTGTCCCCAGGGTCTGTTTTCCCGAATGACTTTCCGCGAGCCCGTGTGGGTTGGCGGTGCTGGCAACACCACCGGACTGCAGAGCAAACTGGGCCTCTCCGACGGCCTGCTTGGCTGCGTGGACTTCCTCAGGATCAACGGAGATACCTACCGCCTCGTAAAGGATGCCGTTGCCGTACAAGATATAGGTATGTACTGAAACAGCAAGCTCGGCCTCTGCGACGGCTTTCTATACTTCCTGAGAATCAACGGAGACACCTACCGATATGAATACACATATGACCGAAAATGTCTATCTCCTCTTCAAAATAAAAAAAAATAGGCTGTTACAAGTGATTTATCATCATCATCATCATCATCATCATCATCAGCCTATTAATGTCCCCACTGCTGGGGCACAGGCCTTCCCTATAGATGGAATAGGGAGATTGGGCCATGACCCTTCACGCGGGCCCAGTGCGGATTGGTGGGTGCTAACGACTGCAGATGCAGCCAGGACCAACGGCTTAACGCGCCTTCCGAAGCACAGAGGAGCTAGAGATAGTAAATTTTTGGTCACTGTGATGTGAGTGATGACCGACCACTGCGAAAGTTGCTAAACTTCAACGATCGCAACCGAACGCGCAAACCACTTGCGCCATCGAGCTTCTCAAGTGATTGCGAATTCATAAATCGAATCTTTGTACCGAGTATGTTTGAATATTAATTTATGTGTCGTAAGTAAATGTACATATTGCTTGAATTCTTAATCAGCTTATACGATACCTGCCGCTCGGTTAATTCCTCGCGAGCCACTCAAAATTACAGATACGTCTCCGCTCTCGGATTAACGTTATTAATGTCTGGTTTTACCAAGGTTTTGCGGTAAGATGGGATTTGTCAGAGTTCTACTTATTGTCGTGAGGTGCTCGAGAAAGGCGCGAGTGTTTTGTTCGATATTTTTGAAGTTATACTTCTTTAGGCGCGTTATGAAAAAATGATGAGAGTGAAATTTTGAGATGCGCGCGTATCACTGTAACACAAAAAATTAACAGCATGAAGTTGGTCGCTTTAGCTTAACCAACTTCATGCTGTTACTTTTGTGTTTACCGCACATTAATTTTATTTTATTTTATTTTATTTAATTATGGTACACCAACAAAATACATACATTACATAATTTTAACAACCTTATTATTGAAAATACTTTGTATGATTTTAATAAAAGGTATACACAGTAGTTCCAATTAACTTTATAACAAATGCAATCTCTTGAATTACATCCTATAAATTACAAACACAACCAGTGTGTCAGGCTAGCAAGCACACAGCGAGTCAACACTCACAAGTAATAACTTGTTCAACTTAATAGGATATATCGTGCAGCACCAGCGTCTTGCACTTGATCGGTGAATTGTAAGTGTCAACCCGTCACGACTCCGACCACTGAGCCAAAATTAAGAAAATCTACCAACAAAATATAAATAGAATCTCTATTTTGTGGGTGCTAACGACTGCATTGTGAAGGCCTATCAAAAGTATTTATTAATCTGGAACAACGGAACCAAAGCGCGATTCAGGAGACTACAGCGCCATCTCTTGACCATTGGTGTAGTAGAACCAAAAACCACATCATTATTTTTTGTAATAAAGTAACAAAAAGTATTTATTAATCTGGAACAACGGAACCAAAGCGCGATTCAGGAGACTACAGCGCCATCTCTTGACCATTGGTGTAGTAGAACCAAAAACCACATCTTTATTTTTTGTAATAAAGTAACAGTTATAGGTATTCATATTTATAATATTTATCCACATGTTTCTAGTTTGTATATTCGGAATACGCGTTTGAGTTTCATACAAGTGCAAATCACATATGTTCTAATAAATTATATTCAGTAGCGATTTTAATTGAATATTTTGATTATTTATTTATTTTTTCAAATTAAAACTGAACTTTATTGACTGTGTCCTTTTTCAGACTTTTTATTAATTTATTGTAATTAATTATTTGCATGCAATTAAAAACTAATTTTAAACGATGCCAAAGAAGGATAACTTCTCACGCGCCTACATAAGTACACGCACCCATTTTTTTTAATCAAACGAGTATAATGCTTATGAGATTTAACAATTTTTAGCAATTTTAATGCAAAAGTTATGTATTTTCTTATCTGGTCGCGGTACCTAATGTTTGAATTTGATAACTCGGTACCTAATGATTATTTAAAAATAATAATGATAGATTGTTTAATGATAGAGCTCTTAGTAGGATAATTTAGAAAGTCGCCGTGTACCTACAAAGAGAAAAGAAGCTAACTGCCCACAACGTATACACAATAAATACGATATATTGACGTTGTTTTCTTTATTTTTATTAAGATTGATTATTCTCTATTTTTTTCGTATAAGGAGCGAGCAGCTATTTATCCCACCGTACCTGATCTGAAAATTGATAAACTACAAAACTATTGCTTTTTATTCGTCACATGCGAAGACGCCATGAAGACCATTTAAGCTATCTCATTTTTACCCTTATTCCGCTGTCAAAAGTCACAAAACTAATACCTACTTGAAGCTATCCCCCTCTGTAAGGATTCCCGGAAGTTCTGATGTCGATGATTTTTGGACATTCTGGTCACGTGCATCGTACGAGGGGTTCTAATAAGGACTCGGCTTTATTCGATGTAACAACGGCGGGTACGCGCGGCTTCTAAACGTACCATTTCGCAAAGAGTTAGATTATTGATAAACTTTAACTACGGGTTTCTAAATACAGAAAAAGGAATAACTTTATAGAGAAAATGTCTGTGGTCTACTGGGATCGTTGTAATACATTAGAATTACAATTACTTGTCTATGCACAATTTAAAGCGTAAACCTGATACCTGCAGCAAGCGCCGTTTTCAAATGGTATAGAGACAGCTTTTTAATGGAGTTCCATCAGTAATAAAAAAATGTTTTAAATGAAACCCGATTTTTTGAAAAACTATCTTTTGACCACTGATCCAATCCTGATCAAAAAGTGTTTTATTAAAACTAAGTTTTTCAATTTTTTATAACGGTTTTCAATTTTATTAATCTTTTATAATCAATTTCGATAAATACCTTTAAACTGTACTGTAATACAATATAATTTTTACAGCAATAAAATATAAAATCGGCAAACGACTCGTTCAACATACAGCCAGTGTTTTGTGTCAAATGGAACGTTTTAAATCCAATCGGGGCACAGGCGTCGCCGGCGTATAGAGCCAGAAATTGTTTAAACGAACTCTTTGCTCGCTTATGCGATGTTGTATTGTACAAATCGCAGATGCAGGCAAATAGCTTTTGTAGCGGCGACAATAGGTTTTGAAACTTTTCAGTGCAAATCTGTTTGTGTTTTTAGTTTGAATACGTGATTGACTGAACAGAACGATTGGATCGAAATATTGGTTCTAGTTCCTTTCTTTCATTTCATTCATTTTTATTTGCATTCATTATGGTAGAATAATAGGCATAGGTAGTTTGTATCGGTTGTATTCGATTAGTTAGTAGGTACCAACAGTTCGCTTTGAATTCTAGAAAAATGGTTGTACCTCGTCAGAAAAGGCACTAATGGAGGTTAAATACTATTTGTGTGAGAAAATACAAGCTTATTATGCCATTTTTAAATAATTTATTAGAGGTCTTTGCACTCGAATTGAAAAGCCTCTGTCTGGGGAAGAAACCTCCACCTTGGAAGAAGACCACAGTGAAATAAATGTACCTTGTGGCGGTGATTAGGGTTCAAGGGCTTCACGGGATAGGGGTAGGCAAAGGCGTGAGTAAAATTTTTTATATCACAAGCGTCTTTAGTCCGTGGTGGCCGCTTACAATCAGGTGGGCCCTATTGGTGTTTGGCACCCTTTAAACATAAAGAAGAGAAAAAAACTACCTTAATACATGTCTACTATGAATGTGGAATTATTTTTAACTTTATATTGTTTTAAACTTTCATGGTCACTAACATTATAGCTATTAACGGGATTGTTACCATGTACCTTGTTTTTTATGAGTTTCCGATATTACGGCACTGTTGCAAGCGCCATGATCACGGAGTAACTGATCTACTTTTACTCCGTGATCATGGCGCTTGCAACAGTGCCGAAATATCGGAGACTCATAAAAAACAAGGTACATGGTAACAATCCCGTTAATAGCTATAATATTTTTAACTTGTTATTAAGTCAGCACTATACGCTGTTGGCGATTGGATAAACATAAGCCGGCAACGTGAAGTCTTCTTTCTACCCCAACATCATCAGTGTCGTTGAGTCCACTTATTTTTGTATCATTTTGTGGCCCCTAGTACACAAAATATTTGATATCAGGTTTTATAGAAGAGAAAATCTGTTTCCTGGAATCCAACAAATTCCTTACAATCATTTCTTTAAATTTCCTCTCCAAAACTACATAATTTTAAAAAAGAATTTATTTTCTAATGAAGGTATTGTGTTCTTCTTCTTCGACGTTTCCTCGGGTCGTGACTTTTCAGGTCAGCATCTTAATAAGTATTACCATACACATTTTACCAGCAATCTTTAGGTCGTTCTGTGTTCTCTCATGTCTGTGGTGGCGATTCTGGCATGATTCCATAAACTTGAAAATTTGGCATCGGTATCTCCTTATCATTCTCTATAGGTAGTGACAAGGATACACTGCTGTCAGGTTTATAGGTTTAAGTTTGCGTTTGGGGAGTCGTGCCGGAATCGCCGTCTGTATATGACATGTCAAGTTGTTTTTCATTGTAAGTTGTCTGTCTCTTTTTGTTGTTTTGTAAAATTATTAATTTAGCAATTTGGTTTTATCCGTGTACTGTGCTGAATAAACGATTTTGATTTTATTTCGATTCTGTTGCCATTCGTGGTTTCCAAGCAGGCGTCCATTCGGTCTACTTGGTAGACCATAGCCATTCACCGGGATGTAGACCTGATCCTGCTCCTTTTGCCTTCCACGTTTCCCACGAACAGAAGCTTCTCAAAATTTTCAGGGCTTCTATCTAAAATAAAAACGAATGGTTTGTTAAAATTTTCAAGAAGTTATTTCCTTTTATTTAGTTCAGCTAATCTAAGATCAGCGCAATATTTTATTTTAAAGACCTCGAAGCTAATAAACGAGACTGTTTTTAAAGCCGAACTTCCGTCTCGCTTCGAAGCAGGTATTAAAAAATAGCACCATTTAAGTT